GCAGGGAACTGACAGCCCCTTCAAGTTGCTTTAGAGAGAAGCTCCCGGCTAACCACCAGTAAGAAAACAAGAGCCTCAGACTTAGAACTGAAAAGAACTCAAATTTTCCACCAGCCAGTGAGACTCAGATGAGGATCAGAGCCCTGAGTGACACCATGAAATGGGTTTGGTGAGTCTGGGCAAAGGACTCAGTTAACCCACATCGAACTGCTGACACATGGAACCTGGGATAATACATTAGTGTTGCCCGAGCTCCTGAATTTGTGCTGATTTATTGCCTGGCAATAGAAAACCAATATAAGAGACTTTAATTTTCAGGGAAGGTTTATCCTGGTCAGTGACAGGAAACACTGTATCACGTTGAGAAATGAGGCCCTGGGACCTGAACACCTTATAGGAGTGAAGCAGGGATCCTGATGGAAGGAGGGTCAGTGTTGCTGACTCCTATGCTGTGGGCAGTGAGAGCTCTCAAGGACTGAGAGCAGGCCTATCCCTATTCATGTCCCTGTAGTTGCTCAAAAGGAAGCCCTTGCAAGTTTAGTTTTCTGGGCTCCAGGAAGCCTTTGCATGAGACAGGGCACCTAGGTATTCCAGATTTGAGAAAGTGAAGGTAAAGGAGGAGATGCAGTGGGATTAGTCAAGCAGTTTGTTAAATYAGAGTTGATGTCCAGGGATTGAATTTTCATGAGCTCCTACTCTCCTCTTAGTATAGGGAGATAAAGTGGTCAGCATATAGTAACCGACTTAAAACAGATAAATGCTTAAGCCTTATTGGCTTAGCACAGCCTAAGGTCATTTCTCCCACATGCTTAAAGTCAAACGCAGGCATCCTGTTTGGCAGGCACTCCTCCATGTGGTCTTTCAGAAGTCAGACTCCTCCCATCTTTCAGTCCTGCCCTTCTGTAGGGCCTCAAGTTCCCTATCCAGCCAGCAGAAGTTAAACAGGAAAGGTGAGGGATGGGAGGGAAGTTCTTAACGGCCATGCAGTAGGGGGTGTACATCTTCTCTAAACACCTTCTTCTGATGGCCCTAACTCAGCCACCAGGAAGCGGGAGGTGTAGTCCCTGCCTGGGCCCCTCCCTCCCACAAGCACCTCTACCCTGTGGGAGTGGAGTGAGCACAGATGTATTTCTCACATGGAATTTGAAATTTGGAGATGGGTTCCCCAACTACACAATTAAGAATCTCGAACAAGTTCTCGGGCCTGTTAAGTGGTGGTGAAGCAGGCAATCCAGGATCAGGAAATGCAGTTTGTTGAGCCAAGTCGGCAGTTTGTAAAGGACTCAATTTGGTGAAAAAAAAAAAAAAAATGGCACCAATTCCAGAAGATTGCCATGGAAACAGCAATAGAATCCTCTACAATGGGATTCTCTGACTCCTTTGTGTAATTGATCCAAATCCCTAGTAATGCCATCTTCATTGGTGGCTGAATACTTTTTGACAGTGTGTGTTTCATCTTGGGGTCTACTGAGCCAGTGATGGCTCTGAGAATCTCACGGAGTAAAAATTTGCCCTTGTATTTTTTGTTTTTCTTTTCCTCCCAAGATATGTGTGTGTGTGTGTGTGTGTGTGTGTGTATTTTTTGGGGGGTGGGGGACGGGGAGGTATACCAGGGATTGAACTCAACCACTGAGCCACATCCCCAGCCCAATTTTGTATTTTTTTAAAATTAGAGACAGGGTCTCACTGAATTGCTTAGTGTCTCACTACTATTGCTGAGGCTGGCTTTGAGCTTTCTATCCTCCTGTCTCAGCCTCGCGAGCTGCTGGGGGACTTGGGGTTACAGGTGTGCACCTTTGCACCCGGCCAAGATATTTTATACTATTAAATGAAAATAATTTCAAACTTAAACAAAAAGAAAGAATCCTGAAGAAAAGGAACAAAGGATAAATCTCAACGTCCAACTATATATGTGGTTTGGAAGAGAAATAATCTATGGGTGTGAGAAAACATCACAGTCCTAGTGTTGATAGAGGTATCGCAGGGTAGGATGATTACATGCTTCTCTCTTGCCAAAAGCTTCCAGGAGAAAAAGAAACTTGCAGCTGCTGAAATGTGATAGTTGTAAAGAACACGATATCAACAAGGTTGAGTGGTGAAATCCAAGTCATGATTTTGCAATGAAGTATAAAGCTTACATTATAGGAAGTTTTCATGAGGAAATTTTTGAGTTGATGTGCCAGGAAAGATCAAAGATATATTTCCTTTTGAATTAAGAAATTAGAATGTGTTTCCCATGTGTTGTGAAACGTTTTTGTAAGTCAATCCCAAAGTAGCCCCTACTTGAAATATGATCATGAGAGCTTGGAGCATGGACAGAGGGGATATCTCTGACCTTGTGCTGCCTCCATGGACCCATTTTCTGTGGGATTCTTGCAAGCCTCTGGCCTCCTCTCTCCGTGGTGCATTTCTGCTTTGCAGGATGGTGAGTTGCAGCACTTTTTGATGATACTGATGTCCCTCTTGAATAGAAAGGAGTTAAATTAAATTTTGCTTCTGGAAACCATCATATTAAAATCTCATTGCCATTAAGAAGTTCATAGTGTAGCTCTGGAGGTGCCATTTCCAACCAGATGTCTACATCTGCATGGAATATTCCTTTAAGAAAACTTTACAACATGTACTTCACTAAACACGTCATTCTACACTGTCTAAATCTATGCAATCCAATGTGATCGCCACTGGTTCCATGTGACCATTAAGTACTTGTGATCTGGCTTGTTTTAATTGATATGTACACTGGAGTTTGAAGATTTAGCATGAGATAAGGAGGTTCACAATTTTATGTGAATTAGTTGTTGAAATAACATATTGAAGATATTAAATATGATATATCATTGATTTTGCTTTTTATTATTTTATGCAGTTGTTAAAAAATATAAAATTAGGGAATTGAGGACATAGCAGAATTCTGTAGCACGTGTGAGGTTTAATCCCCATCACGAAGAAAACATTTAAATTACCTAAGTGACATTTGATATCTATGGAGCAGAGGTCTAAACCATTCTCTAGTGTATATGTGGTATGTGTGTTGAGATATAGTGACTTTCACTAAATTTTACCCGCTCTTTGTTATCATGTCCTTCTGTGTATGCCCTGGGACACTCAGCAGGCTCCGTCACACCAGTGAGTGAATTCATGTTGAATGAATTTCTGGCACGTTCTTACTCACTCTGTCATTTCATGATGCAGAGAAAATGACACTAGCCATTTGTGGGACCCTCAGGAATGTGGAGACCCTCTGGCAGGGGAGGCAGGTCTGGAGAGTCCACTGTGGAGCAGCCAGGCCATGAAGACCCTCCACAGGTTCCTGTGGTCAAGCCAGCTTCCCCATTAAACACCCATAAACCACTCGGTAGGTACCTGGTGTCCACAGACTTGCGGGCAGTCTGGCAGTTCTGCTAATCATTCACCCGCTTGGCTTCCTTCTCCACTACTGTGGGCAGATTCTGCTTTTTGTGGGAGATTCCTATCTTCAAAGTCCTGAGATCAGGATGCTCAGGTGTTAATGAACAACATAACATGTATCCTTGATGCCTGGCCAAGGCAGGGGCCTGAGCATTCCAGAGGGGACCTTAGTGGGTCTACTTGTCTGCACTTGCAACCTCCCATTGCTGTTGGGTCAGTGCTGCTGTTCTCTCCTCCTTTCTGACCACAGATGGCCTGCACATAGTGGCCAGGCACAGCTGGGGGAATGATTGTGGGAAAGAGGCTGCTCTTTTGCCTGCAAGCCACAGGTTCCCTGGTCTGGCCCTGATGATACCTGGATCCTATGATTTTACCAGAGCAAACCCAAGAACCAAGGAGAGCACCTGGGGTTCTCTCCTCCCTGATYAACATAGCAACTGTCACGGGCAGATTTTCCCCTTGAACTGCCTCCCTCTGAGCATTGGACCCTACAGTGCTTTCTAAGGGTTTGGAAAATTCACCAAAGGTAGGAAGGAAAAAGATGATCAATATTTCCCTCTACGTAACAACATCCATGCAAAATCAAGTCCAATATACTTTTTTTTTTTTTTCGTTTGTTGAGGTAAGGATATGATTTTCAACAAATCAGGAGAGAACTGGAACTAGAACCCAAATGTATTTCCACTTCCTCATCTCCTTCCTTGTTAAAACCGTCTTTCTACCTCACTAACAGCAAGGGTCACTGCCAGGCTGTGGGGTAAGAGGTAGTTTTGAGTGTACCTTTTTCCAATATAGTTCACCTGCTTTTCCAACAGTGACTATACACTAAATAGAAATATCTAAAACTTAAAATTTAATGAGCAAAGTAGATCCCTTCAGAAGGCAGAACAAAGCTTTTTTCAGATGTGTTTGCATTCAATTCTCCAGTCCCACCAAATTTCTCAGTGGCAGAGGCAATCTGAATTATTGCCATCCTTAAGGGGAGATAGAGAAGTTTTAAGTTTCCTGGCATTAAGCACGCTTGAGAAAGAATAGGTGGAGATAGTCCCTAACTACGAAGGTTCAACCCAATAAACATAAACTTTTCAACTTTATGATATTACAAAAGCAACATGCATTTAGTAGAAACTGAATAACAGATACTGCGTTTTGATAGTTCCCTGGGCTACTGACACATATGGTGATTCTGCCTCAGATGCTGGATGGGGCCACAGCTCACAGTCAATTTCACAATCACAAGTGCAAACAATAGAACTCAACAATTCACTCGCTATCATCGTCAGTAGGTAGGCGGTATCAACTGCATTTTCTATTTAATCTGTTTTCATATCTGATGGGTTCCTTAGGATATAACCCTGTCCTAAGTTAAGGAATACCTACACTGGATAGGCTTGAGGGCTCAGGCAGTGTTGGGCATTCTGGTCTGTAAGTATGTACTACATAGGAGTAAACCCTCCTTCTTCCCATTGGGGCGCCCACAGTATGCTGTGCCTCGGCTCTGCCTACAACAGTGCTTGTAGTGAGGATATTGGTTTATGCAGAAGCTTGAAGTCAGCATGGTTCACCGTCTGATGGCCTTCCTGTTTCCTCAGGATCCCTACCACYCCCAGACACACTCCTATTCCCTGCACACTCTGCAACAAGCCCAGAACTATTAAGATACCCTATGAAGGCTTCACGTGCTCTTGTACCAGRTTCTCCATCATCCCTTCTACCTGTGCTCACTGCCAGTTTCCCAACATCTACGACTACTCTTAGGTGCATAAAACATTAGTCAACTAGAAAAATGAAGCTGATGATGGGTGAGTTCACATTAAAATATCAACAGCCAATTTCTAGCTACATTGGTATCTACAGTTAAAGAACTATACCTTAATTTCTTGTGTTAGTTAAGGATGAATGTGAGTGATACAGCACATAGATGATTTCAGAAAAGGTACAGCTGCTTGGCACTGTGTGCACACCTGTAATCCCAGCTACTCGGGAAGCTGAGGCAGATGGAWTGCAAATTTGAGACCAGCCTATGAAACTTAGGGAGACACTATCTCCCAATACAATATACAATGAGCTCATCAATAGAGCATCCCTAGGTTCAGTCCCCAGTATTGCAAAAACAAAACAAACAAACAAAAAACCCTCAAAAAAGTAGACCTTCCCTATCTGTGGAAGCTGGTGACAAAGTCTGTGAAAGACTGTTGCTGTGGAAGGTTGAGTGGATTGAGTGGTGGGCCTGACGTCATTTAAGTGACAACAGTAAGGAAGAATACGACTTTAGGTGTGAAGTACAAGCAAGGACAAATGGAAATGTAAGACCAAGACAAACTGGAGCCATCTGTCTCTCACGACCTCAGTGGCAGGCAACCTGCACAAGAATCAGGTGCTCTTCACGACAAAGAGAAGCTGGGGGGAGCAATAAGTCTGGGTGCTTCTCACACCTGGGGGCCCCCAGCAGGATCGTTAGAGAATGCGTGGGCTACAGTGGTGTCCTGCACTCCCACCTTCAGGGTGTACTTGAGCTGCTGCCTCACTTCCACTCCCAGGTTCTCAGGAACGTTTCCCTTGGAGTCAACCCTAGCATGAAGCCATCCAGGGAAGGGCATTCTGGGAATCTTGTTTTAAGTTATGATGACACACTACAAAACCACCATAGCCCCTAAGATCAATTTCAAAGGGTGGCTTTGGAGGTTCATTTACAGGCCAGTACACCTGTTACAGTGATGGGGGGCATATCTGAAGGTAAGGAGAGGAGGTGAAGGGAGCATTCATCATGGTCTGCAAGATGTGGCTGTCACAGAAGAATAGAAAYGCCAGGGAGAGGCTAAGATGTACTACATGGCCACATATCCAAATGACTATAAATGTGTCCACAAAAATATTTGACTTTATGTTGGGACAAAAACYATGTCTCAGAAGTCCTGAAGGATCCTCAGGAGTTGCTGAGTGCCCAGGCTTTCTCTGGATACCCCAACCTGACCCCACTCCATTTCCCTCTACCCTTCTCCTCTGAGCACCAGGGAGGACAAGAGTAAGGAAGACATGGGAGACAGGAACCCATACCACTAGCAGCTCCTCAAGGGCTGTGGGGAGGAGCCCCTGAATGCCCATTTCACAGCTTCCTTCTTTGGTAGAAGCCAGGTTGTTCCCAATGTACCAGAGTGGGATGGAATAATGAGGCCATATTCTGGAAATGTGTAGGTCTGTCTCGAGAAATGTTTCCTCTCTGTGGGGAAGCAGAAGGTGGAATGAGGTAATAAAAGCAGGTGGAAGGCCATTCTTTCCAAAGCCCAGGACCTGAAGTGGCCCCACCAGGTGTGGCAGGCCTGAGTTCTGAGTCTGTACCTCCATGGGAACCTTTATTGGTCATGTATGTCCAGGTCTGCTTCTGGTTTTGTATGGACTGTATCAAGCAATAGTGGTCTCCAGAGCTGTGATATTCAACGACTCTCTCCTGTATCCTTTGTGGTCTCCTAAGAATAAAGGGAGATGGGCCAGGCTGTGGAAAATATCCAGYGAAGGTTTGTTGAAGATAGTGGCTGGCTCCCTCTTAGTGATTTATGAGATCAGCTGCACTAATGGAGCRTTGAAACTGATGAACAGGGAGCTTCCACCAAGGTTTCTGTACCCCAAAGAGTGGCAGCACCTCACCATGTTCTCCCTCCTCATACTCAATGGCTGTGTAGATGTCATGAGCAAGAACATGCTCCCTCAGAGGTGTGTGGTCCTAGAAAAAGGTGCCCTGGTCCTGTCTTTTTATGAGCTCCTGCTACTGATGGTGTCACATGTTAAGGAGTCCTCGGGGATTGAGCTGCAAGTTCATTATCTGCTCATCTTGGTGGTGTTCCTGCTATTGCTGGTGTTAACTGTAGAACTCTGGGCTCCTGAGATGTTTCAACTCTGGATGATGGAGACTTTGCTGATTCTGATCATGGGCTCCTGGCTGATACAGGCAGGCTTTATTCTGTACAGACCAGTCTCTGGTTACCCTTGGGATGATGATGACATGAATGACCTCATGTTTGTCACCACCTTTTTCTGCTGGCATGTGATGTTTGATGCCTTGTGCCTGTTTGGGATCTATGGCTTCTCTTACTTTTGGCATCGTTGTTGCTACCCCAGCTTGAAGATGATGGGGTCTAAAGAAGCTCCCTATCACAAGAGCACTCCAGAGCCCCTCTACAGGCTGTTGCAGGAAATAGAGCAGCCAGAGAAGGAAGACCAGGCTCCTCTGCTTGCAAAGAGCTCACCTCGAGACAAAGCCTAGAGTGCCTGGCACATACTTCACCCCATCTCCTCTTCCCCCATGGGTCCTCTCAGCCTCATGTGTGACATCCTTATTTTTGTTCCCCAATAAAGGTAACAGCCATAGAAGACAGCAGTTGGTGTATTTGCTGTCTCTGAKATATCACTGCTGAAATAAGGAGAGTCCTAAGAAAGGGATGCTTATGGAATTTGGGGAGAGGGAGGAAGAGGATCAGGGGAATAAATCAGCATGCAAGCAGAGCCACAAAAGAAGAGAATGCAAYAGAAGGGCTTTGAAGGGAGGAGTCTCTGCAGAGGGTGCATTAGGTTCCCCCAGGTATTCCATCACTGCTGCTTCTCCAGGCACCTGTGACTGCTTTTACCTGAGGAAATAAAGATTGATTCTGATAATTCAAAAATGGAATCATCCAAGCCTCATCCTGTTTCAGTGGGTATTGTGTGTCTCACCAATGGGATTTATAATGGATGTACACAGTTTGAAATTATGCCCTTTTTGCCTCCCCCCTCCTACACCCAACTTTTAAGGTTTGGTACATTTCAGAATTTTATGCAAAAAGTGACTTTAAAAAATAACTTGAATTTGCACAATTCAAGTTTTAATAGCATTTAAATGYTCAGTACTTTTTCAACTTCATTTTTTATTACTCTGTCGCCAAAGCATATCTCTTTCACCACTGCCACCCTTGTACATGTAATGTATTGGACACAATCTTTAGGTCTTCACAAATTTCCATCCCTTGCATCTCACAGAAAGTTACAGAAAGTCACACCTGGTCACAGTTTTGCCATCTGATTAGATATTCAGCATAAACCCCACTTGTACCTCCACCCCTCTGAACATCTCCAAGGCGGCCTTCTCCAAGAACTCTTGAATTCTCAGGCACTTACATCAAATCCACCTTGTTATTTTCCTCATACATCTGATTCACTTTGTTTTGTTCTGTTTGGGGAAATCATTTCCCTTGGGGAGGTTTTTCCTTACTGACACATGGGTAGGTGCATAGAGGGTAGAGACTTTGCTATATTTGGGTTACAAAATGTCCTAAAGTTTATGCCAACTATGAGACATAGCGATGCTTACTAAAGGCTAATTTGTTCCAGAACATCCCCCTGTGCCTTCTAGATCTGTTACAGACAAGTCAGAGGGTTCGTGAACCTCTGGRCCACACCAGCAGTCCTAATCTTGAGTCATCGCCTTAGTAATGGGCCGCTTTCTTCCTGGCTTTTGGGGATAGTAAAACCTAGTAACCTGTTTCCAAACTGTTTACTTTGATTAAAAAAAAAAAACAATCTCACAACTGTTTCTATTGATTTGCTCTAGTCTCAGACCTGCCACGAGGCTGGACAGGAGTTCAAACGCAGGAGTGCTAGACCCAATTCTGTGACTGTGTCCCTCAGGCCATAGTGACTTTGACAAGGGAAATGGAGAAGGAAGTAATCCTCAAAATGAAATAAGGAGGGAGGGAGGAAAGGAAGAAGAAAGGAAGGGTAGGGGGCAGTTCAGCCAGAAGGCCCAGGCGGAGGAAGCAGCATGGTGTATATGCGCTGGACACCCCTGAAGGGGGTGCTTATGTTACACTTGCTGTCCCACCCTCACCACGGCCCCTCGCCTCTGGGAATGAGAATCTGGCTTACTCTCAACCTCTGGCTCCGTGTTAGATCTCTGTGTTCAGATCTAAGTGAGGGCAGAGACCTGTCTGTGACTCAGCCTTCCAGCCATTGCACTTCCCTTTTATTCTCGCTTCCCAGACTCTGATCAACTGCCTTTCTTTGGGGTTCTCCTTTCTCTTCACCTCTCTTACACATTGATGACAGGATGAACAAGCACAAATGCTGTTAACTGCCCATTTCCAGGCACTTGAGGTCTCGTTTTACAAGGATAGACCTCTTATAATCATGCAACAATCCCAACATAATCTCTCTCAAATAGCCATGTAAACACTGCACTTGGGTATTATTAATTTACCTTATATAAGATCTAACAGAAAAGCCCTCCCCTTGGACAGTTAAGAAAAAACTTGCCAAACACCAGGCTTGGGGAACAAGTTTGTAATCCTCACAAAATTCCACCAGAGGGCACTATGTTCCCATAGCCTGGGGACAAGCAATTAGTTCTTCACTTCCAGTGCACAAGTCTCTTAAGAACCTGTTTTAAAAGTGGGAGAGGGCCAGGTGCATGGGTTACACCTGTAATCCCAATCACTAGGGAGGCTGAAGCAGGAGGATCCCAAGTTCAAAGGCAGCTTCAGCAATTTAGCAAGGCCCAAAGCAACTTAGTCTTAGTGAGACCCTATTTTAAAATAGAAAATTAAAAGGGCTGGGATGTGTCTCAGTGGTTAAGCACTCCAGGTTCAGTCCCTGGTACCAAAAAATAAAAAAATAAAAAAAAAAGTGTGAGGCAAAAGGAGGGCAGGAAAAGTACAGAAGCAGACTAAATATTGCCCAAGCATCCAAAAAACACCCTAGGGCTATTTCCCATTAAAATTTGGCACACAAAGGTGAAATAAACAGGGACCCAAATCAATTAATGGGGTTAGGGGTGAGGCAGGAAAGACTGGATCCAGTTGAGGATTTCTTTGGGAAAAGTACCAGCTAAAAGGCATTCTGACCCAAATAATTTTTTGATCAGAGTGCCAAATTCTCTAAACATTTTTTTCTTTTTCTCTTTCCACATTTTTATGGGTGCATTATAATTGTACTTAATGATGAGATTTGTTGTTACATATTTGTACATGCACAGACAACAACAAAATTGGGCTATAATTTCCTAAACTTTTAAAAAGCTTTAATCAATCTAGAGAACAAAGATATCTACATATGCATTGAGAATAGGAAATAAAAACGATCTAGGAAAATCCCAGATTCTCAAAATGAAACTAAGGAAAGATTATTACATGGGACTAATAATCTCCAAAGATTGCTTTACCCTACTGACTTGTGTCCATCCACCTGTGTGTTTGTGTGTGTGTGTGTGTGTGTGTGTGTGTGTGTGTGTGTGTGTGTTGCTGGCAATGGAATGCAGGGCCTTGAGCACATTAAGCATGTTCTCTACCACAGAGCTACACTCTAGCCCCTCCAAAGATACCTTCAAAGAGAACCGGCTACATAGCACCTATTTTCTCATATCTTAGTTATTCACAAAGAAAATGTACACAGAATGGTCACTATTCCAAAGTCACTGGGTAAACTGTAATATAAGACTTTGGGGTGAACTGGTCGGTCCCTGTACTCTGTACTTTCTTCAGTGGTTTGGTAGGAATTTCATTATTTTGGAAGTGGTGGCCCAGGAACTCCACCCACAGGCTAAGGACACTGAAAGAAGGGGACCAGAGAAATGCGCTCAAAGGAATGGCACCTTGGAAGTATATTAGGTTGTGGAATGCTGTACTAACCTGACTTCAGCAAGTTACAAGTTACCGAGACCTCAGTTTCTCCTCGTTAGGATAAAAAGGCATGAAAATCTAATGCCAGAACTGTATGGCTTTAATTTTCTCTATAAGACTTATTTCTCATGTTGTGAGGTAAGATGAACTTGACTTTTCCCAACTTTCCAAGCAGCTTCCTAATAAAGACAAGACTTAGGATAGAGCTCAAACAGACCCAAGCCTTCCAYCCTAATGCACAGTGTGGCAAGTAGAGTGTTCCCTAAATTGAAATGATTTCAGTGAGTGTTCGACAAAGACTCAAATCAGGCTTAGGAGACATAGCTGAGGTTCAAATCTCAAATTTCCTTTGCTCAATTGAAGAGTATCAAATAATCAAGATACATAAAGAATAATTCTTGTGCTCAGTGGTTGGTTACTAAATTGAAGTATAATCTGGTCCTTCCTTCTATAATTGTGGAGAGTGAAGTTTGTAAGGTCACCCACCTATACCTTCTTCCCAAAATATGGCTTAAGAGTAATGCTATTAACTTCCAARGCTGTTCTTCTTTTTTGTCTTATTATTTTCTTTTAAGATTCAATTATGGTCTATTCTTTTGAAAAGAACTTATGTTGGTTTATTAAACAAAGAAAAAGTTGACAATGCAGGTCAGATTTTTAAGGGTGTCCCCAATCCTGACTTTCAGTTGTGCCCCCTTTTCACTGATTACCTTTGAAACAACAACACAGGCCCTGGAAAAGCCCTCTCAGAGCACTGGATTAAAGGCTTCAGACCTACAAWGTGAGAAGAGTTCTTTTAAGTGAGAAAGAAGTTGTAAGGTGAACTCAAAGGTAAAGCCCACCAAAGACAAGGCCTTCATTTCAGGCAGTAGAGCAACAGTGAAGAAATGTGCTTAATCCTRGGCTATGTCTGCAGATTTGGAATAAAATCTTCTGTAATATTGCTCTCCCACTCCACCCACCCCTGGGACAGAACAACTCCAAGAGAGAGAACCTAGCTTCAAAGCACATGCCCTAAGAACCCCCTCTCAGCTTTGAAACTGTGCACCCAGAGACTGAAAAGTTCATGAGTCCAAGAATCCTAATGTTCTTTTTATGGAGGGGTAGAAAATGGGGGCSGTGGCAATTTATGGAAGAAGGGGAAGAAAATCAAAGGGCAGCAGATACAGCGGTCAAAGTGGGTAAAACAGGGTGTTCTACTTTTTTACTTCTCTAAAAAGTACAGTCTGGTTTTCTGGGGGTGAACCAACTGAAGAACTTTCTTTTGCTTTTTCTTCTATCRCACACTCTAGAAAATTCCCTGCTCAGTCCTTGGACTTATCTAGGTTCTAATTTGGTTGATTTAAGCAAGTGTAGGACTGACGTAGGAGGCCTCTTGCTCACTCCTGAAAGAGTCAGTGGTCATGTATTATGTTCCTAACTGCCACAAGGCAGGCCCTTGGTCACAGGAAAGGATCAAAGCAAATCCATTTCCATTCTCGGAAAAGCAGCTCAAAGCACATGTTCTCTTGATGATGCCGCTGTCATTTCTGTGTGGTCAACAAACGTTTACTGAACACTCCCTCTGGATACTACTGGGGGATATGGAGATGACAGAGCTGCTCTTGGAGGTTAACATACATAGCAAGGGAAGTAGACACTCAGAAATGCAGAAACGCCACAAGATTAGAAAATTACATTTGTGCCTTCCTATTCCACTTTCTATTATGTTTTCTATCCCCATCTCAGGTGCTAGTAATGCCACAGAAAGCTCTGATTTACGCTTTGGCAGTTTGGCATCTGGAGACCAACATCTCGTAAAACAAGAACATCACTTTTCCCTTCCTCTGCTCCCTTTCCAACCAGTTCTGAAGACTTGGTAGAAAGAGTCAGAATGAGAACAGCTCACTTTGTTACCAGGTCTAAGCCCACCTTCCTTAAACCAAAGATGGAGCATTATACTAAATCAGAAAGTTGATTTAAGTCTCCTTAAATGGGAAAAGAAATACTCTAATCCCTTCACATTATTCTGGCCTATCATATATAATGTTTTCCAAACCTTTATTATGTTCCTGGCCCYAATCTCTTTTGTTAATGCTATCACAATTAATCCCTACAATTTATAGGTAGCTATTATTTTCCCATTTCATAGGCAAGAAAACCCAGGCTCTGTGTGGCTAAGTAACTTGGCCAACACAAAGGTGGTAAGAGGTCAAGTTCAGGTTTGAACCTAGGTTTGTCGGATCTGATGCCCTCCCTTTAACTAACATGCCATAATGTTTCAACTTGCAGCACTAAAATCTAACAAGGAATTTGCTATGTGAGGTGCCTTACCCAGTCCAAAATATATCAGAAACCTGTGTTAGAGATGAATACTGCATCTATCACTTGAAAGTGCTACAGTGTTCCACACACTTAAAGGGAAGGGATGGTGACCAAAGAAGCCAAGTAATGTGTGTGTGGTCACAAGCAACATTTCTTTTTCATATTTGTGGTACAAAACATAACCAGAAGAACAAACATTTTCCCTTCCTTTTCCAAGGGCACTGGAAGCATGAATTCTTGGTCATGAAAAACAGAAAATCACAGTCTCAAATAGTGAGGCTCCTGAAACACACAGTAAAGACCAGATATGACAGGTGGATTTCAGCCACTAAAAAAGAAGCCACAATCAGCTAATTGGAGAGCAAAATCAGGGAGAATTCCTTTAAGGAATCCTAAATTTCTGAAGAATTTTGACTTCTGAAGGGGCAGCAAAGACTTGGAAGGGGGCCTGGGAAGAGCTGGCAAACCTGCGGCTTTCCTTTAGCTGCTCTTACAGTAGTTTGCGGGCAGAAATATCACATCAGGTGGGTGGCACTAAAGGCCATTCTTGGAACCACTTCATTTTCCRGATATGGAAACTTGGGCCCAGAGAGTCTGCGACTTGCCCAGGGTCTCACTGAGGCAGTACTGGACAGGTCTCCTTTGTGGAGCCCTCCAGAATCCTCTGGAGTACACAAACACAGCACTTCAGGGGAAAATAGGAAATCACAGGGTTCGTTCACTTTCCCAAGCCCACGACGGGACSAGGGACGAGTGCTCTTCCCAGCCTTGGGTGCCAGGTCTCTGCAGGCCGAGGGCCTCCCGCCCTGGCTGGGGCTTGCCCCCAGTGCTCCCCTTCCAACTTCACCCGAGAGGGCGCGGAGGGCGGCTCTCTCACAACAAAGGGCGAAATTCGGTTTCTGTGGTTCTGGGCTCGCGGAACTTGCACCGGAACTTGCACCGAGGAGGCAGCCAGGGGGAGGGCAGCGAGGACCGGGTCCCCGGGCAGGCCGGGCCCTCGGCGCGGCGGCCGCGCTCCCCTCCCCCACGCCCCTTTCTCTTTCTTTCTTCCCAGCTCCCTCGCCCCACCCGGCGGCGCCCGCTCGGCTCCTCGCCCAATGGCCGCCGGGGCCCGGCGCGCATCAGCTGATGGGCCCCGGTCCCGGCCGCCGCGAGCCAATCAGGGCGCCGGGGGCGGCCCCGGGCGGCCGATAAAGGGTGCGGGTTGCAGGCGGCCCGACAGAGCCGAGAATGGGAGAAGAGCRGAGCTGCTGAGCGCCCCGGCGAACTCCTCTCCTCTCTCCTCACCTCGCTCTCACGGCCCGCCCGCCCGCCCGCCCGCCACCTGCTCGCCGCCCAGGTAAGCACGCGGCCGGCCCCGCGGGCCCTGAGTGACGCGCGGCGCCCCGGCCTGGGTTTCGGCCCCGCCCGGCCGCCTCCCACCTGCTGTCTCCAGCTCCGCGTTTCGGCCCCGGCCGCGGGCTTCACACGCTCCCGCTTCCCGCGTGCTTGGGCCGCCGGCGGCTCCGAGTCCGCCCCGTCCGGTTGGCGACGGCGGGGCGCGCCCTCGACCGGGCTCCGAGCGGGACGGTGGGGGAGGGTGTTGTTTTGATCCTCCTTTCGCGACTTGCGGCCCGAAGCGCCGCCCCCGGAGGCCGGCGCCCTGGGTGGCTTGTGCAGTGAGCACTGAGCGGCCGCAGGGTCCCTTCGCGAGGGTGCGCGGCGCCTTCCGCGGTGGCGCGTCCGGGCAGTCCTGGTGGCACCGGGCTTTTAGACGCCCGGGTTGAGGCGGGGAGCCGTGAGCGTTGTTTGCGCGGCCAGCGGGGTCCCCGGGCTCCTGTAGTGTGACCGAACAATGGAGGGCCGGGGTCGCGTCGTGGAGAGCGGACATCGCAGKGGAGACACCCGGCCGGCTCCAGGCAGCAGCCGCGCACCGTCCCTCCAGCCGACGCAGGCTCGACCCTCCCSGGCCTCTACCCCCGAGGGGCATGGCTGGCTCGGCGAGGCCCTGAGGTCCACGCGGGCCGGAGGGGCGGGGCGCCCATTTTCAGAACCTTGAGTGGGAGGGGGCTGCTCTCAAGGTGGCTTATCCCAACTCCCCCGGGGGCGGGAAGCGGAGATCCACTTCCAGCCGCAAATTCTCCAAGAAGATCACAAATGAAGATGACGATGACCTGGAGTCTCAGGCCTCCGAGACGACCCCCACCAACTCCTGCGGCTTCGTGGCCTACTCCAACTCCGGGGAGAAACCATGGGTCAAGGCTAAGACCTTAAACCAACTCCACCAGCAGCCTATCTATTCCAATGCCTCCCGGCAGGACCGCTCCGTGTCTTTGTCCCTCTCCCCTACTCCATCACCGTCACCCTCACCCAGAAAGCTTCGTTGCTTGGACCCGCGAGAGATCCCCAGTGAAGAGAAGCATGAGCACAACAGTAAAAAGAGGAGGGCTAGAGAGGTCAACCCCAGCAGTCCCTTAGACCTTCTCTGGCAGGGGTGAGTGAGGGGGCAGGGAGGAGGACACTGCAAAGGGGGTTATCTGCAGACACCACCCTGAACTTCAGAACCCGTTCTCCCACGTGAACTTGGCACCATGTAGGCACCAGCTGCTGGCATCCAACTGGTCTCACCAAAGAACAGGAGATCTGGAACCCAGGCTTAGAGACAGTGGTCTGATGTTGGAGAGGAAAGCTGAGACTGGGTTGTAGCTTTCAGAAGTTGTCCTGGCCTTCCACGGCAGGGGTGGGAGGTGGGATTTGATGACCTGTCTTCTAGACTCTGTAGGTAAAGATAGTGTTGATTCTGTAATAGGACTGGACAGGCGAGGTCCTCCTCTTCCCCAGGGGAAGGGTGAGGCAGTTGGAGGGAGAAGCAGTTTTCAGCTGGGCAAACATGGACGGTTGCCCATAGAAACTTTGCCACTGTACTTCAGAAAGTTGCCCAAGTCATTGGAGGAGAACAGTGTGTTCCCTTTCCAGCCACCCTGGGCTAGAGAGGGAGGGGGGGACATTTCCTCTTGTATGGAGGCTGGTTTTGTGGCTTCAGAGATGTCTTCTTTTGGAGGCTTTGTGGTCATGGCTTGCCATCATGCCTTGGAGCTTTTTGAAATCCCAGATCTTTTTGATTAGAAATGGAAATTTTCTACTTGTATGGAGTCTTTAGTAAAATCCCCAGAATATTGTCATTCTCACATTTAAATCTGAGACTTGTCTTCTGAAGTGAGAATTTTACATCACACCAATGAAAAATTACGCAGCATGCACGTTGGAGTCTGATTCAGGACAGAAACCACAGCAACCAGGTCTCTAGCTGGATTTTACTTGAATTGGAAGATGGTAAACATTCTGTCTCTGAACTTTTGTATTGTCATTTTAAAAAATAAAATAAAATTATTTCTAATTTGTTATATATGACAGCAGAATGCATTTCAGTTCATAGGAACATATAAAGCACAATTTTTCATGTCTCTGGTAGACAGTAGAGTCTACCAAGTAGAGTCACATCATTAGTGTCTTCATACGTGTACTTGGGGTAATGATATCCAATTATTCCACCGTCTTTCCTACCCCTTGCCCACTCCCTTCTCCCTCCCCTTTGCCCTATCTAAAGTTCCTCCATTTGTATTATCATTTTTGTTTCCTCCTAGTCACTTATTTCAAAAAGTTACCTACCTTAGCCACGTTGAGGGAATAAAACTTTGCACTAGACTAATGGAATTTTAGAATTGAAAGCATAGATTCTAGCTTGGAAGCTTGAGATCCGTAGTATCTGAAACTCTTCAACCTCTGAGCCCCAGGATGCCAAGAGATGTCAGTTAATACCAAGGCCTTGGTCTAGCAAGTTTTTTGTTTTGCTATGTAAGTACTGTGTCACTGAGCTTCGTACCCAGCCCCAAGTATCTGCTTTAATTGCTTCAAAAGGTGATGTTCAGATTTTTACACCATACTCTCATGTTACTTTTGTGTAATATGAAGTTTTGAACCCTCTGAAGGCAGAGCAAATAATTGTTACTTTAGTTGTATTGAGTTTTAAAGGGACGGGCTCTCCACTACCACTCTTAATTCAATTGTGTTCCTTAAGCCATTCCTACAGGGAATCTGTTTGTAGTGGGTGTCGATAAAATTACTTTTTTTTCTTCAGAACATCTTCCATCATGGCCACCTCAGCAAGTTCCCACTTGAACAAAGGCATCAAGCAGGTGTATATGTCCCTGCCTCAGGGTGAGAAAGTCCAAGCTATGTATATCTGGATTGATGGTACTGGAGAAGGACTTCGCTGCAAGACTCGCACCCTGGACTCTGAGCCCAAGAGTGTAGAAGGTGAGATTGGGCAGAAATGGGGTACTTGCCTAGGGTGGGGGCAGTGTGGGGGTGGGCAGCAAACACCAAGGCTTTTCAAACTTCAATCAGTGTTAAGCTTCTGCATAGCCTCAAAACATAGCAACAAAGGAAGCCTTTATTTAAATGGACTCGTGTGTAAACCAATATACTGAAGAGAGAAGGTTTGAGTGTAATTTGTAGAGGATAAGGGGCTGGAGAGTTTCCTGACTTGACCATCCTACTTAACTGGCTCTAAAGCACCCCTGGGAACCCAATTTGAAAACCACCACTCTTAACTGAATATGCCAAGTAATTTGCACACTGCTGAAGTCTATGTTTAGTAGTCATATCACTGGATTTCTGCATGCAAAGTATATCCTTTAAAGTGGTTTATAAATGGGGGGGACTCACCATTTGTTTTTTGTTGGAGCCACTTTTAGAAATTTTAAATGATCTGGTTACATGTTCCTTGAGGAGTTACTATATTAGATTTGTGATCTTCATTTTTTTAGTCTAGAACAAGTTGTAGCCCTTGCCCTTCTGGGAATGGGCCAAGGGAAAAACTGTCACCTCCTGCCTACATTAGAATAGCTCATTCTTCTGCTTATATTCACATTTGGATTGATTGAATGAAGGACCATAATATGGAGCATGTAAAGTGCTATGTGGCAGGTGTTGAACAGGCCTCTGCCATCTGAGAACTCAGTCAATAGGAGAGATGAAGAAACTGACCTCTAAAACAGTGAGAAAAGTGAACTAGTGGTATGGGAGCATATGTTTTCTTCATCTGCAAAATAAGGACACAACSTTAGTTAGGACAGTCAGTGAAAGTAGGGGATGAGAGAAGGAAGCAACACAGATGTCCTAATGAAAGAACCAGAATCTTTCCCCTGTCTCTTAAATGACTGATTCACTGATTGTAATAACAAAGTACCTCATTGTCTACTGGTATAGAGTAGACTTATTTAAGTAGGGAATGTCTGTCAACCTTTGGTGGCTCTTGTGACTTAATTCTTTTAAGGAAGTGAGGGTACAATGATCTTACTTGGAATGCAGGTACATAAGTAGAGATGTTGTTTTACACAAGGATGCATTCATGCCACACTTTCTGGGAATGACAAAGTAAATCTTTAGAAACGGAAAGGTGAATGAGGGGCTGGTTATATTTCTTGCTTAAGAAGCCTTCCTATACATTTTTAATTTTCCCTTCTCTTTCTGATTCAGAGTTGCCTGAGTGGAATTTTGATGGCTCTAGTACTTTTCAGTCTGAAGGCTCCAATAGTGACATGTATCTTGTACCTGCTGCCATGTTTCGGGACCCCTTCCGCAAGGATCCCAACAAGCTGGTATTCTGTGAAGTTTTCAAGTACAACCGAAAACCTGCAGGTATGTAAAAAAAGGGTTTGGTTGTCCCTACCTCAGTCCAGCAATTCTGTAAGGGGAGGAGACATTCTGAAATCAGTATTAGGAAGACTAGACTATCAGCACTGTTTAAGAATTTGGAGGATTGAGGGTCTATCTCTCCACCTTCCATGGTCCCCTTTACTAGTTGTATACAATGATGAATTTTTAATGTTTTTGCTGCTAAGAATCCCCAGTGACAGAGCCACCTGTTTGCCTGGAAATTTTTAAGAACCTGGATTCAGAATCTTGTTTGAATCCTGAACTGCTATTTTGCTGATTTAAAAATTGAGAAAATAATAAAATCCACCTGAAAGTTGGTAAGATTAAATTATTTAATACATGCAAATCTTTTGGAACAATTGTACATCAAATATTGGTTGCTGTTTCACTAAACAGCATAGTTTATCCACTGACAAACATGAGCATCTTGGTTCCCAGATAACATACATTTGCCCTGAGGTTTGCTATAACTGCACCTTAGGGTCCCTATTTGCAGACATGTCTTTCGCAGTTGTCAGCCAGTGAGACTTAGTGACTCTACACCTTCTTTGCCTTTGCACGGGGCATTATTGTTGGTAAAGGGYGTGGGCTCTGAAGCCAAGGCAACCTTGGGTTTCCTGGCTCTGTGGCTTGCCCCAAAGTGTGGGCAAGTTATCTAACAACACTTTTGAGCYTCCAAAACTGGGTGCAATGGCCATGCTTATAATCCCCACAACTCGGGAGGCTGAGGTAGGAAGATCACAAGTTTGAGTCCAACCTCTGCATTTAGAGAGATACCTTGTCTCAAAAAAGTACTTCTAATGCCCACCTCAGGGTTGTTACTCAGAAGAATATTTTTTATTTTGAAGTTCTGTTCTAGYTTGGAAATTGTTTCCAGTTGAGCTCATCTCATTTTTGTTTTTCTTTTGCACCAGCCAATGCTATATAATTTAGCACTTAAGCTCACCTGGAATGTAAGCCTCCTACAGGACAAAGTATTCTCAATAAAAATTAGACTTGGCTGGGACAGTGGTGCATGCCTGTAATCCCAGCTACTTGGAGAATGAGGCAGAAGGATTACAAGTTTAAGGCCAGCCTGGCAACTTAGTGAGACTCTTTCAAAATTTAAAATAAAGGGGCGGGGCCTGGAGGTATAGCTCAGGACAAGGCCCCTGGATTCCATCCCCAAAACCGTGCAAAAAAATAATTACAGCTTTGGCTCTAAGTGCCTGAGAAATTAAGGGATAAATTTGACAACTAGAAGCAGCTGTCTTGTGAATAGAGGGTGGAAGTGCCTGGCATTTGGTGCTTGGGAGGTGGCCAGCATGCAGATAAGGTGAACACTTGCTCTGTTCTGAATCCACTGCCATGTGACTTGGTTGTAATTGAGTTTAATTATAACTAACTAAAGTCTTTCAGAGGATCTCCTGCAGATGTGATGTGTAAATGCAGCTTTTCCCATTTTCCTGACTTGGTGATGGGACACAAAGGTTTTCCCTAGGTCAGTTCATGATCATCTCAGCTGTGTAGAGTAGGAAGACTGTTTGCACATCAGCATCCAGGCCCAGTATATGTGTCCCTAATAGCATGTTGACTCGCTTTCTAGAGACCAATTTAAGGCACACCTGTAAACGGATAATGGAAATGGTGAGCAACCAGCATCCCTGGTTTGGAATGGAACAGGAATACACTCTCATGGGCACAGATGGTCATCCCTTCGGTTGGCCTTCTAATGGCTTTCCTGGTCCCCAAGGT